GAATCCCAAATATCTCGTCACCCCTAATTTTTGTTTATAGCACGGAACAAACGAGCTGGCAGGTCACCTGGAAGTGATTATCGCCGTCCATGAGCGGGTGCTCAAGAAGCCGTCCATGAGCACCCGCAAGACCAACAATTGCAAGTGCATTAGCATTTTAAGAAGAGTTTCTTGTAAGTTCTTCTCATCTCGAAATCATTCCGAACTGACTATAGATTTGACATATCATAAGAGTCTGTAATAAACCTATATGAACAAAGATATTTTGAATTTGAATTTTTATATGCTCTTTTCTTGAAAGTTTCAATATCTTATCGGCTCGGCAATAACATTGGACCGTCTATTGAAGAATTTTCCACGCAATCAAAAAAAATGAGGTTAAAATTTATTACTTCGTTGAAGACAATTTCATATCCTTTATATATATAACGTACGGAACCCTAAAAGAACAAAAGAAAAGGTTGAGAACTGGTCATCGCGTGACCATCAGGGGCGCGGCGTTCATAATGGGGTGCTCAATAAAACTATAGACGGACTCAAGTACCTACCTACCTCGTCTGCAGCTCACAAAATTTAGATTTTCTGATTACGGACGTTGACCTTTCACAATTTTCAGTCAGTCGGCCTCGGTGGTCACTAACCACTAGTTACGCCACCGACTTAGTTCCGATGATCGCGGGATCGATTCCTCGCGCGATACACACGTGTTTGTTTGTATTGGTCTGGTAGTTTATTGTATATACTACACTAGCTGTGCGCGCGGTTTCCCCCCGTTCAATTTTAATAAAAAATATAGCTTATGCGTTATTTTAACGCGAAATTAAACAAAATAAATCCATTAAGTAAATTAAACAGACTTCCGCAAAATTCGACAAATATACTAGTTGTGACCGCGGTTTTACTCGCATGAAATTTATAGCCTATATATTATTCTGATGCGTGAGCTATATTACTTTAAAGTTTCATCAAAATCCGTTCCGTAGTTTTTGCGTGAAAGAATAACAAACATCCATACGTACATAAGTAAGTAAGTAAGTAGTAAGTATATATATATATATATATATATATATATATATACTTTATTTTAAGGATTTATTTAAACTTACATAACTTAATTGTACAACTAAGAACCTAAAATTAAAAAGCTTAAAAAATATAATAAAATGACTAAAATATATTATTAAAAGGGGTCCCTTTAGGCAACGTTCCGTAGATACTGGCAGCGTTCCCTCTTTGAATAGCTAGACGAATTCTTTGTCCAAGGTAGCTGCCAGCTCTTCGGTCTTCTGTGATGTATATATATATATATATATATATTTATAGATATTTGTATACTACACAATTTTTCCAACTACATGCTTCTTTGTGTAAAATATACATTGTGCAAATAAATGTAGCTAAAATTAATGTAAGGCTACAGAACAATTGTATGTGACGTTTGACCTTTCTGTCCCCTTTCGCTTCCACTTCATTCCACAAAATGACTACAAATGTAAATAGGTTTCCGGTGGCCAAATCCGTTTCTATTTTAAGGGTTGACACGTCACTATTTAGCATAAAAATAATTGCATTGTTATTATATTTATTGCTAGCTGTACCCATTTATCGACTATAATAAGGCCTTTGATAGCATTAGTCACAACGCTATATGGGCAGCATTGAAAACGTTTGACATTAATGAAAAATACATAAATATTCTGAAATATATATATGCAAATAGTACTAGTAGAGTAAAATTAAAGACTAGGGGAGATACAATAAAAATCGAAAGGGGAGTCAGACAAGGCGATCCCTTGTCACCTAAATTGTTTATTGCTGTATTGGAAAATATATATTTCGGAAATTAAAATGGCAAAGTAAAGGTATAAACATAAATAACTCTTACCTAAGTCATCTCAGATTTGCAGACGATATAGTTGTACTGGCTGAGACACCGAAAGAGTTGCAGACCATGCTAGATATGCTTGATCAAGAAAGTTCCTGCATAGGTCTCGAAACAAATTCGAACAAAACTAAAATAATGACTAACAGCCTAGAAATACCTATCAAAGGAAAAGAACATAAAATTGAATATGTAGACCAGTATATATATTTAGGCAAACAAGTATCATTTAACAAATTAAATAACGACGAAGAAATAGGAAGGAGATGTAATATAACATGGAAAAAATTTTGGTCACTTAAAGAAATTTTCAAAGGTACACTACCCCATATACATGAAGAAATTAGTTTTTGATACATGCCTTTCGCCCTGTTTAGTATATGCCAGCCAAACATGGACGTTTACAAAAAGAACATCACAAAAAATTTTAACAACACAAAGAGCAATGGAGAGATGTTTACTGGGAATAAGAAAGAAACATAAAGTAAGAAGTGAAAAAATTAGACTGCAAACGAAATTAACCGACGCAGTCAACCAAGCCCTGCAACTCAAATGGCAATGGGCAGGTCACATCTCACGTGTTACAGATGGTAGATGGACTATTAAAGCTACAAAATGGAAAGGACCAAAGGGAAATAGGAAAGTTGGAAGACCAATAAGACGGTGGGCTGATGATATTGTAGACTATATAGGAAAAGACTGGTTAGCTATAGGAAAAAACGAGACGAGAGAATATTGGAAAAAGATGGAGGAGGCCTTCACTCAAAGAGGGGTCCATATCCACAAATAATATAATTATAATTATAATATAATACTAACAAATAGATCGAAAAAAAAAAATTATTTTTATTTTTTTTTTTTATTTGTACAAACTTCTGGATGGTTATGGAAATAAAGGGCTTTATTATTATTATTATTACTAGCTGTACCCGCGACTTCGTCCGCGTGGAATTTAACTTTATTTTTCTAAAATAAAAGTAGCCTATGTTACTCATTACATCAGTTACCTGGCAAAAAAAGTCGTATCAAAATCGGTCCAGGTATTTCAGAGATTAGCCGGAACAAACAGACAGATAGACAAAAATTGTAAAAAAAATTATTTTGGTGTATGTACCGTATTTATATTCATATGCATGTAGTAAAATACGGTTATTTCAATATTACAAACAGACACTCCAATTTTATTTATACGTATAGATTAGAATTTTATTTTTAGCTGAACCCGCGGTTTTACCTCCTTTAAATGTCAATAACAAAATACAGCCTATATGTTATTCTGATGCGTAAGCTATATTACTGTAAATTTCATCAAAATCCGTTCTGTAGTTTTTGCGTGCAAGACTAACAAACATCCATACTTACAAACCTTCGTGTTTATAATATTATTAAGATTGAGATGTTCGCACGCTACAGTCATCTTATTATATACTAGCTTTTGCCCGCGGCTTCGCTCGCGTTATTTTATCCCCTTAGAGGTGGAATTTATCAAAATCCTTTCTTAGGGATGCCTACGTCATAGTAGCTTTAAGCTTGCAAAGTCTCAGCCAGATCGGTTTAAAATTGACAAAGTTTCATACAAACTTTCATCCCCTATTTTATCCCCTTGGGGGTAGAATTAATCGAATTTATCAAAATCCTTTCTTAGGGATGCCTACGTCATAGTAGCTTTATGCATGCAAAGTCTGAGCCCGATCGGTTTAAAATTGACAAAGTTTCATACAAACTTTCACCCCCTATTTTATTCCCTTGGGGGTAGAATTAATCAAAATCCTTTCTTAGCGGATGTCTACGTCATAACATCTACCTGCATGCCAAATTTCTGCCCGATCCGTCCAGTAGTTTGGGCTGTGCGTTGATAGATCACTATGTCAGTCATCTTTGATTTATATATAGTTAGACTAGCTGATCTACGCAACTTCGTCTGCGTTTCCCCACCTTTTGCAATATTTCTCATTGCAGCTCCGCTCCTATTGGTCGGAGCGTAATGTTATATTATATATATATAAAGCCTTCATCAACAAATGGACTATCCAACACAAAGTAATTATCCAATTCGAACCGGTAGTTCTTGAGATTAGCGCGTCCAAACAAACAAACTCTTCAGCTTTATAATATTAGTATAAATTAGACGATATTTCATATTTAATATAGGTTTATCTATTATTTCATAGAAATATGAACCGGGAGGTAGTTACTGATTTTTTTTACATGTTTGCAATGGTACTCCTCAACCCACTCTCGGAACCATAGCCAACTTTCGCTATGAATAGAATAGAATAGAATAGAAAATCATTTATTCAAATAAATTTACATTGAAGCACTTTTGAATAGTCATTACATTTTTTTTAATCTACCGCTCGTTCGGAAAGCTGTCTCATCACAAGAAGAACGAGCAAGAAACTTGCGTGTTGCTCTTTTAAATAATTTTACTATTACTTTACATTTTTAAGTTTAAGTGTGTGAATACAAACCACCAATTAGCACTAATTCAATTAAATACTCAAATAAAAAAAATATTGAATATATAACCAACTGGTTAAACAATTAATAAGAGGAAATCAGTCATAGTGATTAGAGCAGACCAGTCCCTACAAGCAGCACCCGTTCACGAGTATGACGGATGAGCCAGCCATCACTGCGCTCGACCATATTTTAGGGAGCCCAATGACCCGGCCCACCACGCCGCCACAAGTCTGGACATTTTAGTGAGCATGACTACTCAAAACACTAGACCACGTCAAAGCTACTTACAATTATTGTGTAAAGCTCATGCTCCATAACACAACCGAATATCTTAGAAGTTTTTGACCGGGATGAAATAATTGGCAAAAAACACCATTGGTTTCAGGACATTGCTGTACCTAAATTCATAACCTTGCGTTCGCGTAATTTTCGTAATAAAACATATAAAGTTTATACTTCTCTTATCATATAGGTTGATTTACGTTATATGTATATATATATATATATATATATATATGTTAAGGATGTAACTTAATAAAAAACACCTAAAATAATATAACTGAGCAGGACCGAAACTATTTTACTATGAGAAAAAAGCAGTACTAAGTCACTAATAAACCACTGAGTTTACATGCCTTAGAATAAAAAGTCTTACCTGTACATGTTGATTAAGATTATTAGGATCTCTATCCTCCAACGCTTCCTGTATTCCACTTTCCGGTTTATTTGCCGCCATTTTCGACGCTCCCGGAGCTCTATATATCGGCTCCGACACTAATTCCGGTACCGGTGTGGGAATTAAAACCGGCGGAGCCGACGCCGGTTCCGGTAACTCTGGGAACAGTTTGGCTTTGTACTGGCACGCTATGCACTGGCGCGACGTCGAACGAGTTAAAGGGACGGCGGCCCCGCCGGACCCGAGCGGTACGTCTTCAAATGCCACGGTCGACAATGTATACGCACCTTTAGAATTATATTCAGTTTTGAACAATTCTATTCTATATTCAAATATTATTCGAAAACATAATTTAAATTTTAAATCTACAATTTAATATTTATTTGAATTAAGAATTGAATAAAACGACGTTCTAAATTCAATTATAATAATTCACAAGACAAATGTTGTTAATTAATGGGAAAGCGAAAGATTTATTCGAAATTTAAATTTACAAATACTTATTACATATGTTATACAGATAGATTTAAATATTTAATTAAATTATATTATCTATATAATATAAAATATCGTAATTATAATATATACGAGTAAGTTTACATTATCACACGTATGTAACGATCAACTCGCTGAATTGACTTTATGAAACTGACTGTTTCCCTCCAAGTTTCGAAGCACTTTCTGCGCATGTTCGAAATAACTTATTTCTTCAGTAGTGCATCAAATTTATAGAAATTATGTGGTGACACTGATCATATTGTTAATGGTAAAATGTGTTTTGACACATTGTTGCTTATAGATCGATATCCTAATGGATTCTGTTCACTTGATATGCTCATTTTGGTTGGGCCACAAAAATAATAATTGGAAACTAACAAATAGAAATAAATAAATATATATATATAATTTACTATATAATTCTAATTTACTAACATCATTACTTTGTAATAAGCAAGAAATAAAAAGGATTTTTTATTTTTATTTATTTATTTTATACTAGTTGTGCTTGCGAGTTAACGATGTTTCGATCAGTGGAAAGTCAGTACGACATAAAATTGCCGTAGTCAGATTTGACGACACGACATATCAAAATCATAGCAACATTATTTTGTAGTACATACCACGAATATATTATATTAACCATCCAGTTTATTTTTAATTTTCGTATTGTACTTGAAAATACTATTATACTATTATAAAGGTATAAATGAAAAAAGTACCTATCTATATCACGATAAAATAAATACTCTAACAAAATCGATTATGGCAGCTTTTAAATAATAAAAATAGCATCATAATCGATCCATTCGTTTTTGAGCTACGATGCCACATATACTTTTTCATTGGGGCTTAATAACTATGTATGAACTTGACAACCATAAAAGTTATACTTGATTACTGCTTAGACTTACTTAGAGGTCATATGTGTTAGATATATCAACTCTATGTAGTAAAAGTATGTATTATAATAAAATAACAACTATATAACATTAATTTAACTATGTCTCTAACACAATTCACTTTAGCAATTAAAATACAACCAGCACATCCTGTGCTCAAAGACCGAATGCCGCGGCCATTTTTTTTTTTTTCGGACTACTCTAATGCTGTTGGCCGTAGTTGGCCTTTACAGCTTCACCGGACGTTATGGGGCGAGTGCAGATGGCACTCCAAACCCGCGGAAGGACTTATGGAGCGGCTGAAGGCCAACTTCTGCCTGACGGATACGACTTTAGTCTGAGGGCACCACTAGGGGTTCGAACCTCGGCTCAGGCCGTCGTAATTTAGATCCCCGTTTGAATTGGACGGGGGATCGATCGGAAAAACCCTCCCTTTTATACAGAGAAGATATGAGTGGGGGTTATATGCAACTAGTTTAACGATACCGAGTAATAATGAAACTACCTTCTTTTAATATAAAATATCAGATTTTTCGATAACATCGATGTGAACCCTAACATATGTATGTATGATATTTCTTATTGAGTTCCTTGTTTGTCAAGGACCAATAAATTATTTACTCGTACCTAATAAAATATGTATGCTGACTGAATTATTAATATTTTGTATACAATGCTATCGATTTATCTAATACCTATATAAATGGTCTGGTCTGATAACTAAAATTTGGTCGACGGCACAACTCCCTGGCTCATACGTCATACTCGTGAACAAGTGCTGCTTGTAGGGACTGGGCTGCTGTTATCACGACTGAATTAATCTTATTGTGTATTTAATATTTGACTCTACTAAACCAGTGCTAGTTAGGTTGATAGCTAGGCAGTTTGTATTCCCATGTTTCGACTTAAAATTGAAAGTTACAACGATTATTTAAAAGAGCAACACGCGAATTACTTTCTCGTTCTTCCTGTAATGAGACAACTTCCCGAATGAGCCGTAGATTAAAAATATTGTGATGACTATCCAAAGGTGCTTAAATTAAGTTTATTTGAATAAAAGATTTCTTATTCTATTCTATGACTGCTTTATTTTGTTACTCAAGTAACTATTCATTTAATTATGCCAACTTGGCGATTTGGCAGTATTGTATTAACAAATTAACTGAACAACTATCTAAAAGAGCAACTTGAAAAGTTTCTGGATTATTCTTCTGAACATATGTTTAAGCAACACGCGAGTTTCTCCGTGACGCTCAACTCAAACTCCCGCCTGACGGATGCGACTTTAGTATGAGGGCACCACTAGGATCCCGAATCTCGGATCAGGTCGTCGTAATTTCGATCCCCGTTTGAATTGGACGGGAGATCGATCGCATAGGTTCTCTAGATGCAAATTACTTCCAAATTTATTTGATTTAAATGTTACCCTGACATTTTAAAATACCACACATTTGCCGTTTTGTGTGCATCGAGGGATTCAAATGACAACACCAAACTTTGAAATACAAATGTTTATTGTTTTGAATAAACAATGACTTATATACTACAATTATATACATGCACCGTTTTATTTATGTACAATATTTAAAAGTTATTATGATTAGTATACAGTTCTGATTTTGATGCGACGCTGTCAATAAAAAACACAGAGTAAATTTTGTATTCAGATAAAATGTTGTATACAATACAATGTAAATATACAATGTTGAACAACATTTTAAAAGAGCAACACGCAAGTTTCTTTCTCGTTATTCTTGTGATGAGTCTGCTTTCCGCAAAAAAATAACTATTCAAAAACGTTTGTCATAAAGTTTATTAGAATAAATATTACTTCTATTAACACCACGTTTTATGTTGGGCATTGGCGCCGCCATTATAATATGTAGAGTTAAACCAAGACAGAAGTTTGCACAGATTCACATAGCAATTTTTTTTGGTGCGGTTTTTCCATTTTCAGGGAAAGGCAAAAGGACTCAGCCCATACAGCCAGCATTTTTATTGTTTAATTAACGAGATTTATATATGTCAAGACAAGACATGACATGACATAGATTTTTATTATGAAGGTCTCAAAATATATCTGTGCAAACTATTACTTTTATCGTTCTGAAAAAAATGTTACACAGATTCAAAAAAATATTTTATTGTTGACCGTTTGTGTGACATGCAAACTGACGTATTAAATTGTGATAGACTGTATTTTGGTAAGTTTAATTTAAAATTTAAAAGTGTGTTTTATTACAAATGGTTTACAAATAATACAGGAAGGACTAGGATACATATTGAACTCTTTTGTTTATTCCTTACTAGTCATTTTATTCAGTTAGAACGAAATTTCAAAAATTCCTCACATGTAGATATTACTGTACTACTATTAAAATAACAACAAAAAAGTATATAAATACAGGTAGCATCAAAACCAGTAAAACTATATTTAATATAAATAATAGACAATTCTAAGTATGTGTTAATTTTTACATTGAGCGTGGAATGACGTACTGAATGACACAAATTGATCATTCATAATGATTTCTTACTAAACAAGATTATTTTGATTAATTTCAATCTGTGGTAAAGATCTCTTTTGTTAAATATGGAATCATATTTATCACAAATTATGTTGTTACAAAAAAAAATTACAACCTCGCAATTTGGAAAAATATGTTGCCTCTATAAGAATCAAATATAACTGGAAAATAAAATTAATAAGTATACAAACTGGCAACTTTGCTTTGGAAAAATATATTGAAATTCAAATATAACTGTATACAGCGAAATGTAAAAAAGGAATAAGCATAAAGAAGTTTATTTCACTCTTGCCGCCATTTAATTTAATAATTTTAATAAATGAATAATGTAAAACCGATGTTTGTGGAGTGACCTTTATGCAGTTAACGTACCGGCGGCGCGCCCAGGTCACACCTATCCACAGGGCGCACAGAAGGCGGTCCTACCCTCTTTAATATGATTGATCGACAAGCAAAAGGTTACACAAAATGTAAAGATCTATTTTTTTTTCTAGCATAGGGAAGAAACCAGCTACGGTTCACCTGATTATAAGTGTTTACCGCTTCCCATGAGCACCCGTGAAAATGAAACACCAATGAAATTGCAATGCAAGAGCGTTGCTGGCCTTTTAAGAAGGAATAATTGCTGTATGATGATCCCACAATATGTTTAATAACGAATGTCCCTTATTTATGTCCAATATAAATATTGGAATATTAAAATCAATATTTAGTAATAATCAAATTTATTTAGCTATTTAAAATACAGATTTTCTATTAACAATTTAATATAAATGTTTTACAAGTTCTAACAATAATTATAAATTAAAAATAAAATGAATTAGTATTATTATACATTTAATTTAATATAAAGGCACCTTATATTATTATAATTGTGTATTTTACATTTATCAGCACCTGTTCCAACCTGTTCAATATTTAGTTTCTATAGTAAAGTCTACATTAAAGCTTCTGTGATCATATATTGGAAGACAATAGAAATAGCTATTATTAAATTCTTAATAAACTTACATTATTAAAAAACATTTTTCTTTTATAATAATTACATAAAATACAATTTTATACAAGACAATATTAAAGCACTTTTCGGAGTAATAACAAAATAAAAATCAAATAAGTACTGCATTAATATCATATTTGAATGCGCCACAACACATCCTAATTATCAAATTTTTTAGTGATCTTAATAATTCATAGACAATATTGTCGTATTTCTTAAACGAACTGAATGTTAGTCATTATCAGATATTATTTAACAGTACAGTTTGGTATTTAGTCCAAAATATTAAGGTCAAAACCGACCCAATTGACCCATAAAAGTCCATTCGCGTGAGCCTTTCCGTCCGCCGGGTTAAATTATAATGCCACTTCAGATCGATTGCAAATTCTTTCACTATTATTGAAATGTTCAAATAACGAATGTGTACAATAAAGTAACTCGAATTTTTTATTTCAAATAAATTAGAAAATAGAATATATATTATGATCATATTTTAAAATAATTACATAAGAGGTCTATAAATTTGTAAAGTGTAAAATCAACTATCTTTCTCATTTTTTTTTTAAATCTTTATTTTGGCAAAGGACGTCCGATTCGTTCAACGATCTGTTAATGAGTGATCACAGCACGACGCGGTCCTGACGGTCGGATGGTGGGTACAATTGCGGGTTCTTCATCTTCCTCCTTCGTAGATTCCCTGTATTTAAAAACAAGAAAGCCTATTACTCACTAAACGATTACTTGAATGACGAGCGTGCATGGCAATAGTTGCTCATGCACGGGGTTTTCATTTAATATTAGATATAGACACCTATATAAATATACATTGTAAATAAACTGGCATTAAAGAAAAAAGTAATTCGATTGAATTTCTTGCCAGTTTTTCATAATTGAATCTATATACCGAACTGGACGGTAGGGAAAAAATTATGATGCAAAAAATTTGACGTTCATAAGCGGCTAAAATGTCCTACATGAATAAATGAAATTTGAATTTGAATTATATGACAGATTTAATAAATACTTTTCTACACAAAAGCTGAAACTATTTTTTTTCCAAAAAAAAAAAATAGTTTCAGTTTTTTTTGCGTTGTGGCCCTTTGGCGTTTAATCAGCGATATAATAAAACGCATTTTCCATTACGTGCCTGCAAATTGAAGGCCATTCAAAGTATAATCGTTACGAATTTGCAACGATTAATTGTATTAATTAGGTAAATTAATCAAGGTATTCAAAGCGAGGAATTCATTCGAATGCATGCAATTAAAGTTATACAATATGGGTATTTAATTATTCACAGAAAAGCTTGCATTTGCATGCATTTTTTTATGCACCAACACGCAAACCTTATTTGTGTTAATGGTTCATTCGAATTGTTATATTCCAAAGTAAAAATACTCCATATATATGGGTAATTCACAAAATCATTACATCATTTAAACACATTTTATTCGAGTGTTTTGCCCCTTTTTTTAGAATTAAGAGCTTAACTCGAATTAAAAAGATGGAACAGTCTCATTATTAAATTAAGTTTTTTAGACGATTCATATTTTTATGAACATGGTATTTTCCAATATGATAATATGAAACATTTTAACAGAAAGCGAATAAGAGGAATACTAGTTTTTTGTCATATTGGTAGCGCTGGCTTTAAAAATCAGTATAAGGGTATAAATTTAGTCTATGGGCATGGTAAATAAATTGATAATGTATTTTAAGAGTTTATCTTTACAATAACCGCATGATAGGTGTACTAAATAACAATAATAATTGACAATTTATATTTACGAAAAACAAAGAACTAAAGGTGTTCCTTTGTTTTAGATTCTCAACAAACTCGGATTACTAAAAATACTGCAACCCACAAGTAGTGTTTGTTCCAAATTTGACATTGGCAAAATGGTGGATACTCCGAGCCATTGTCATTAAAAAAAGAACTAATTTAGAGATTACATGCCCTGTTATTTAATCTGTAAATCTATATCTCTAGGTATACTAATTGTATACGTCTTTTTTTCAGTAATTTTCTTTTACTCGTTTTAAAATAGTTTTTTAATGTCCGTCTCCTCTCATTTATAAATATTAAAAGATTTTAAAAATCTTGTTTTATTCATAGAGTATATACAATTCCAAATATAAAATAAAATATTTTATTTTAAATTTGGAATCAGTTTGTTCCATTTTGTTAAATATTTCATTTTCAATACAATATAATATTTGTTGTTATTTTTGGGAACACATATTTCTAACCGTCATGCGGTCACCGTATAACTAATCTAATTATTAACTAAAATATATGTACAGGTCAATTAAGCATATACAAGCACTCACCGTAACTGCAGGCGTAAGGCGGTTAAGGGTTAAAGCACTACGACCGGTAATCACCACCTTTGGAGAGACACGTTATGTTTGTTAGCTATATAAAACCAACTCTAATCTAATATCTAAATTTAGAAGCGATAATCATGCTTTATCGATTTAGCTATCCGCAACTCCGCCATATTACAGGTTATTTTTTTTCGTTTCTATTTTTTCCCGTTCAGGGACAGGCAAAGGGATTCAGCCCATACAGCCAGGTTATTCAGTTCGAGATAGTTTCAATCGAGTAATTTATTTTCTAAAATATAGATTAATAGACAGTTATCAACTTATAAATTAAAGCTACACTAATAAAACTTTATTTTAACTTATAGTATAAAGTAGCAATTGACACTGGGGTAATGACACACAGCAATTACTTTTATAGGTATGTATTTTTATATCAGTATAATGTATTATATAGTACAGTTATTACTGTACCCGCGGTTTCCCCGGATGAAATTTATAGCTTATGTGTTATTTTGATGTATCTGTGAGTATGTATTTGTGAGTATAGACTCTTTCACGCAAAATCTACTGAATGGATTTTGATGAAACTTTACAGTAATATAACTTACGCATCAGAATAATATTTAGGCTACATTTTTTATTGAAATTTATCGCGGGTAGCTAGTTAGCTATATTACTGTAAAGTTTCACGGCACAGCTAGTGTTTACTACATAACTTAAAAGTAAAAATATTCTGGTAACACTGAAACACTCCCATATGTTACTATAGCCAAAGGTTTACCTGATCTTAATTGGCTGTCGCAGCGAAAGCTCCGAGCCTGAGGTAGACGGGGTCCTGGCGGCTGTTACCAGCCGTGGGGGTCGGGGGGTCCGGGGGGAGCGCCCCCGGGCGAACTCCAGCCTGTAGTTGTCTGAACGCGGGCTGCCACTGAAAGCCTCCACTTCTGCAGCAGCTGTACAAAACAGATGGTAGCTTAAATGGCTGAAAAGTGAATAGAAATCTTACGAATAATTGATAACGTATATAATATTAGTTCTTACGTTGTAGTTTTATTTTATAGTAGTTTTAGTTATGACGACCTCGGTGGTCTAGCGGTCTAGCACGCCGCTTTACGACCTATGGTCGCGGGTTCGATTCCTCGCACGGCACAGACATTTGAATTCATGAGTATGATTGTTTGTATCGGTCTGGGTGTTTTCTATGTATAATATGTATGTATTTACGAAAAAAAAAATATTTATGTATTTGTATCAATTGTCTAGGACCCATAACACAAGCTTTAGCTAGCTTAACTTGGGTCTAGATGGCGCTGTGTGAATTGTCCTGAGATTATTATTATTATTATAATAAATGTACTAGCTGTACACGCAACTCCGTCCGCGGGAATTCAACTTTATTTTTCAAAAATAAAAGTAGTCTAAGTTACTCCTTATTACTACAGCTACCTGCCAATAAAATTCCCGTCAAAATCGATCCAACCATTTCAGAGATTAGCCGGAACAAACAGACAGACGAAAATTATAAATATTTTTCAACTTACTTGTTCAGTATATATTATTTATAACTAGCTATACTATATATTCGCGTGGAGATTAACTTTATTTTTCAAAAATAAAAGTAGCCTAAGTTACTCCTTATTACATCAGCTACCTGCCTATTCCATCAGACAGACAGCGGACAAAAATTGTAAAAAATGTTATTTTGGTGTATGTACCGTATTTATATTCATATGCATGTAGTAAATAAAGGTTATTTCTATATTACAAACAAACACTCCAATTTTATTTATATATATAGATGTCAAATATGGGCGTGAGGATCTTAGGGTTTTTATGGTGTGAGTTAAAGGCCCTCTTATGGAAAGCTGTTATATTTGGTAACATACACAAAACTTTATGCTGATCAAATCGCCTGTGTCTTAATTAATTGCAACGAATATATTTTATTTATTTATTCTCTTGCACACAAAAATGTATATATGACGAACATAAAAAAGTAATTCCACGCGGACGAAGTCTTAGTAACAGCTAGTACACAAGAATCGTTAATTTAGGTAACGTAATAGATATCCTATTACGTTACCTAATGATGATTGAAATGTTTCATATATAATTATTGTATTATTGCAAATGACGTTGGTATGGGACGGAAGCGGTTAGCACGTCACAATTCCCATAGACATCATAACTGTAGCCTCGCCTACCACGAGGCGGCCTTGGTGTTAAAAATATACATAATAACATGTTACCCAACCATGGTTGGTTTATATAATAATAATAATAACAAGTATAAAATTCCTGACTTCCTCAATAATATCTTCACATAGCCCAATCTTCCCACACTGTGGGAAAGGTTGGGCTATGTGAAATCTCCTCCACTGACTCCCACCCGTGGGAGAGGTTGCGCTATTTGATGGTGCCCATAATACTCACCGTATTACCTTCTTTTAAACGTTAAAAGAAGAGAAAAGAAAAGATTAAAATAATAATAAACTAGTGATATTGTATAACTCAAAGGTGACTGACATAGTGATCTATCAACGCACAGCCCAAAACACTGGACGGATCGGGCTGAAATTTGGCATGCAGGTAAATGTCTATGTCATAACATCTACCTGCATGCCAAATTTCAGCACCTGCTAAGAAAGGATTTTGATTAATTCTACCCCCAAGGGGACAAAATAGGGGATGAAATTTTGTATGAAACTTTATCAATTTCAAACCGATAGGGTCGATATCTCATATCTCTTTCCATGCAAAGTAATAATAATAATAAGTAAAATATCGATAAAGCTACTACGACGTAGCTATCCACTAAGAAAGGGTTTTGATAAATTCCACCCCTAAGGGGATAAATTAACGTGAGCGAAGCCGCGGGCTAAAGCTAGTTAAGTTATAAGTTTGAATATTATCAAAGGCCTATTGTCAGACTGTACTTCTATATAATCACAGACAGACTATAATCTATAATCTATATTCACAGAATAAGGTACAGCCATTAAATAAACAAGTATATATGCGCGTGTGTGCGAAATAAATGGTAATGTGTGTGATTTTTTTTATTTATACTATTATTTATGCATAATAAAGACGACCTCGGTGGTCTAGCGGTCTAGCACACCGCTTTACGTCCGATGGTCGCGGGTTCGATTCCTCGCACGGCACAAACATTTGTATTTATGAGTATGATTGTTTGTGTCGGTCTGGGTGTTTTATATGTATATGTATGTATTTACGAAAAAAAAAATATTATCTATGTATTTGTATCAGTTATCTAGTACCCATAACACAAGTTTTAGCTAGCTTAACTTAGGTCTATATGGCGCTGTGTGAATTGTCCTGAGATTATTATAAGCAAAAAAAATATTAGCATTTTGTACTCTTTGTTACGAAATAAGATACAGTTGTATAGCATACATAATACAAGCTCTGCTTAGCATGGAACTAGATGTCGCCATGTGAACTGTCCGGAGTAATGATTAGTCTGCAAGTTACCGTTGTAGACGACGTGGGCGGACATGGGCATGCGCGCGCAGGCGGGCGGGTGAGCGATGGCAGCCGCGGCGACGGGCGGCGCGGGCGCCCAGTCACGGTACACGCGCGCCGACCCGCTCCCGCGCCACTCCGACAGCTCCACGCTCCGGATCTGTGCACACAATAAACTTACTACACTATCTCACATACTCCCCCAGTGGAAAAGTAAACCCAAACTCTGCCACTTCCAGTACAGCGCCACTGGTTTCCATGGAACAGTAAACACAATACCCTAACTCTTACAACACATACCGCTACCTCCCACACTCCCCCAGTGGAGTAATAAACACAAACCCTGCAGCTCCACTGGTTACCACACTACCCCAGTGGAACAGTAAACACAACACCCTGACACTTACAACACTACGCCACTGCTTCCCACACTCCCCCAGTGGAGTAGAAAAAAAAAACCTGCTACTTCCAATACAGCTCCACTAGTTCCCACACTCCCCAGAGGAACAGTAAATACAACACTCTGACACTTACAACACTACGCCACTGCTTCCCACACTCCCCCAGTGGAATAGAAAACAAAAAAACCTGCCACTTCCAATACAGCTCCACTAGTTCCCACACTCCCCAGAGGAACAGTAAATACAACACCCTGACACTTACAACACTACGCCACTGCTTCCCACACTCCCCCAGTGGAGTAGAAAAAAAAAACCTGCTACTTCCAATACAGCTCCACTAGTTCCCACACTCCCCAGAGGAACAGTAAATACAACACCCTGACACTTACAACACTACGCCACTGCTTCCCACACTTCCCCAGTGGAGTAGAAAATAAAAAAAAACCTGCCATTTTCAATACAGCGCCACTGGTACCCACACTTCCCCAGTGGACTAGTAAACACAACACCCTGACACTTACAACACTACGCCACTGCTTCCCACACTCCCCCAGTGGAGTAATAAACACAGAACCTGCCACTTCCAATACAGCTCCACTAGTTTCCACACGCCATCGACAGGGAATTCATCCCCACACGCTAGAACCTAAGTGGTGTCATGAAGTGTGGTTTCAGAGGAGCCTCCTCCTGCGTGCATGCGGTTTTTCAAGAAGGTTATAGGTTTCTTAAGGGTCGGCAACGCGCACATGACACCCCTGGTGTCTCAGGTGTCCATAGGTTACGGTAATAATTTACCATCAGATGGACCGTATGCTTGATTGCCATTATCGTAGTATAAAAAAGCAAGCACTTTTGATACAACTGACCTAATTTCGTCCTCCAGGACGATGATAAAATCAGGTCTGGTGGACCGAAGAAGAAAAAATAGATGTTTTTTATGTACTTGGCAAGGCAAACAAGCTATATAGCCTCGGTGGTCTACTGGTTTAGCACAGCGCTTTACTATCCGATGGTCGTGGGTTCGATTCCTCGCACGGTAAGAACATTTGTATTCATGAGTATGATTGTTGGTATCGGTCTGGGTGTTTTCTATGTATAATATGTATTTATTTACAAAAAAATATGTATCCATGTACTTATATCAGTTGTCTAGTTACCCATACCACAAGCTCAGCTTAGCTTGGGACTAGATGGCGCTTGTGTGAATTGTCCTGAGATATTATTATTATTATTATAGGTACTAATATTTAAAAAAGGAAAAGATTTGTTTTAGTGTATGTAATAATTTGTTTGATTAACTCCATACATTTGACTGATTTTCCAAAATATTTCACCTAGATCCAACATTATTACCAAGTGCCATATGTTATAAACGCAGGCAACGCCAGGAATATAGGTAGTTAAAATATAGACTTACAGGTGTGGTGCTTTTGCTGCGGCCGCTGATCTCCGATGATGCATTGCTGTGCCGCTGCCTGCCGTCCCGGTTCCGTTCTGATGCTGAAGACTCCCTGCATGAACCATCTGGCTCATCACGCGTCTGAGAACAACAAAGAAGAAATCATTATTACATCCTTAAGTTTTCTTATCAGAAACTGAAATGGCGATCTAAATAATGACTAATTAAGTCAAATGAAGACAAATTGACTAGTCGAATTGTTACGAATAAATTTGTAAAATATGATTTCTCTGGAGTATTCACATTGTTTTATTTATTGGGAAACCAACAGCATTTACTACACACTAGCTTTTGCCCGCGGCTTCGCTTGCGTAGTAGTGAGTGTTATTATTAATTAGGTGTAGCTATTGCGACTTTACTTTTCTTTAGCGTGTATAAAAAATTAGGGCCTACAAAATCTAGTGGAAACGTCCTTTATTTTAATATTATATCTACTTTTTCATGGTTGAAGATAATGGTTTATTATATATAAATATATATTAATTATATTGTTAACCGGGTCTTAACAATTAACCTTATAGTTAATTGATTAACATCTATATATATATAAATAAGATTTGTCTGTTTGTAATATTGAAATAACCGTTTTTTACTACGTGCATATGAATATAAATACATACACTTAAATAAAATTTTTTACAATATTTGTCTGTCTGTCTGTCTGTCTGATGGGACTTTTATAGGCAGATAGCTGATGTAATAAGGAATAACTTAGGCTACTTTTATTCGAATCGAACCCGCGACCATCGGACGTAAACCAGTGTGCTAGACCGCTAGACCACCGAGGTCGTCAATAAATATTTAAATTTAGGTAGTTATAAAAAAATAGGTTCATAATGACAATGAAAGACTGATGAATCACAAATTCAAATTGCTATGCAAGTAGGCTGTGATCACGGAAAACAAGTTACCACGTAGATATACATCTGCCACTGTTTTGATATAAAATCGTGACTCGTCTGCCAACATCAAGATCCGCGTACGTCTCCTGAATGATTGTCATGTTAATGATGAGACTATAGCGTTCCCTTATTTAAAGTAGGTTGTTTCGTCGCGAACTTTCTAGATTAATTTTATCGTTAGTTTTTTTTTATATATACCCTCAATATCGATGTTTATTACTCGCAACGCATAGCAATAGCAGTCGTACAAGCTGCCATGCACCACGCCCAGTTGTATCTGTGACTACGGCGCGAGTGTATGTCTATCGTTTCGAAAATTATCTCTACATTCAACCTCACCTCACGTCTTCAAAGACCGGATCTACCGAAGGTGGATGTTCATCGAAGGCATTAGCAGAACAAGGTACGTGTGTGCATTATATCTGCTATTGTCAACGAGTTTTTAGAACATCGATTTATTCGTATACGTAATAGTCCCTATGTAGCATAAAGCCACCGCTATTTCGGATTGGTGCGAATGCTACATAGGTCTTCTTAGAACTATATAGACGATGTAATCTTGACCGATTTATATACTAATATTATAAATACCTTTACCTGAAATTATGCGTATAGAAACCGCATTGAGAAATCTTATTTCTCACATAATCGGCTTTTTGTCATTATTAACTAGCTGTACTCGCGAGGAAACTAACTTTATTTTTCTAAAATAATAGTAGCCTAAGTTACTCCTTATTACATCAGCTACCTGCCAATAAGTCACGTCAAAATCGGTCCAGCCATTTCAGAGATTAGCCGGAACAGACAGAAAGACAAAAATTGGAAAAAAAAAAAATTATATGCCATATGCATGTAGTAAAAAACGGTTATTTCAATATTACAAACAGACACTCCAATTTTATGTATATGTATAGATTAAGTGAGGCTATGTTAAATTAACTAAGTCCGTTATATGCTGTATCTTTTCGAGGGATCAGCCCACAGGTGTACAAGCGGTCCCCAGGTAAAAGATGTCGTGTGCCCACCCGTGGGCATGCGGGTCGGTAATGTTGTAGCGGAGTGACCCACCGGTGGGCATGCGATCTTTAACGTGATAATTATATGAATAGCTTTATTAAAAAATAGATTATACTATGACAGTGTTAAACAAGGCATATATAATATAAAATAATATATTTCTTGGATTTTAACTACATATTTGTTATATATTTTATTTTTCTCTCGTTTCTCTTTACCTTATACTTTTCTTTTTATTCTCTGTGGTGTAACTGTCAGATTGTTTGGTATGTATTCATATAGTTGTGTATGTATTGTGTATGAGTATGTATTTGTATATCATATTATATATTCCTTCTTTGTTTATAATTTATATTTATATTATTGTAAATGTAATAGTATAAATATTATTATATCATTTTTTATGCCTATTATTTTTGCATGCCAATAATTTTTCTCTGTACTGCCTATGGTTGACTTAGAAAATATTGGTGTTATTATGTACTGTTACTTTTGTACTGTGTGCATTAAAGTTATATAAGTAAATAAAAAAAATAAATTTTATATTATATTAAATGTTTATAACGAAAAATACCCTAAATATTGGATCGATTCCAACAACTCTGACCATTGGAATGCTACGTTACCGCTGAGTAATATATGTAAGCTGTATTTGTTACTTGTAAAAAAATTAGGGAACCTTACTAAAAGTTCACTCGGAAAGCTATCTCATAACAAAAAGGTCGAGCAAGAAATTTGTGTTCAAAATAAAAATGTTCATCCAAAAGTACAAAGTATGTATATCGATTCTCTATAACACAGGTTGTGCTTAGCTTAGGATTAGATGACGTTGTGTGAAATATACTGAGATATTATTAATCTAAATATATATAACTCAAAGGTGACTGACATAGTGATCTATCAACGCGCAGCCCAAAACACTGGACGGATCGGGCTGAAATTTGGTATGTAGGTAGATGTATAACGTAGGCATCCGCTAAGAAAAGATTTTGATTACTTCTACCCCCGAGGGGATAAAATAGGGGACGAAAATTTATATGAAACTTCGTCAATTTTAAACCGATCGGGGTGAACTTTGCATGCATAAATCTACTATGACGTAGGCATCCCCTAAGAAAGGATTTTGATAAATTCCACCCCTAAAGTAAGTCATTTATTCGCATTACATACAGATATAACAATAAGCGCCCCAGTGACAGTAGTAGGCTGCGCTGTAATATGCCTTTTTTCAGTAGGCATGCAAATGTTATTAATAAACCTAATAATAACATATATTAATATCTACATTATAACAATTAGATTATATATTACATATATAAAATTATAGATTATTACAATTATTATTCATCATCATCATCATCATCGCAGCCACTGCTGGACATAGGCCTCCCCAAAGATCTCCACGACGATCTGTCCTGCGCTGCTCGCATCCAATGCCTTCCAGCGATCTTGACCAGATCGTCGGTCCACCTTGCTGGAGGCCTTCCCACGCTGCGTCTTCCGGTCCGTGGTCGCCACTCGAGGACTTTACTCCCCCAATTATTATTACTTTATTTTTATTTATAATTGAAATAATCGATAAAGTGATAAATTATCGCGAGCGAAGCCGCGAGCAAAAGCTAGTATTGAATATGGCTTCATACCTTGGTGTGGCTGGTGGTGACCGGCATACTGGCGGCTCCGCTGCTCACCAGCCGCAGTTGCTGTCTAATATTTGCCTTTTCTCTGGCACGCTTGCGTTGGAATTCTTCTTCCACTCTGTAAATTCATCAGATACAATTACAATCAGTCCAATGGGGTTCGTTAAACCTACTTGTGGGCGAAAAGATTATAATTTGACTATCAGATCATTATGTATTTATATACATATTAATATGTACAACATTAAAAAAAATACGAGCTGAGTTTCTTGTCAGTTCTTCTCATCTCGAAATCATTCCGAACTGACGGTTGATTTGACATATCATAAGAGTCTGTAATAGACCTACATGAATAAAGATATTTTGAATTTGAATTTGAATATAAATTTCGTGCAGATGAAATAACGGGCACAGCTAGTAATTTTATAATCTACTTGCATCACTATGAATATATTAAAAAAACAGTACTATTGTTGGACAGTACGAAATTTCAAGTCCTAATTTTACATTGTTTTATGTAAATTACATATTACTCACCGTCTCATAGCTTCTAATTCCGTTCTTCTTTGCTGTTCTTTAAAGTCTGCCTCCCTTGACAGCTTCTCCGCCAGCCGCCGCCTCTCCAGCTGTCTGACTGTAGACTGGAAGGTGAACCTTTTCCCGCGACTATGTCCGTTATTGCGCTGTAATAAATAAATAAGACGAATGGTTAATTATTGTCAATAGAGTTTGATATTATTGAGATTAAAAACCTCAATATACGGACGGAGAAATTTTAAATAAATAAAGCTACTATGACGTAGCCATCCCCTAAGAAAGGATTTTGATAAATTCCACCCCTAAGGGGATGAATTAACGCGAACGAAGCCGCGGGCAAAAGCTAGTATATAAATTTATATCATTCATATACATAACACAAGATCTTTGTTTGTCAAGGGTTGGTATTGTTTTTATTATTACTAAAAAAATCTTTGACTAAACAGCCATAGATTTTATATCTTATATATAAAATTCTCGTGTCACAGTTTTCGTTCCCATACTCCTCCGAAACGGCTTGAGCGATTCTCATGAAATTTTGTGAGCGTATTGAGTAGGTCTGAGAATCGGCCAACATCTATTTTTCATCCCCCTAAATGTTAGGGGTAGTCCACCCCTAATTTTATTTTTCATTTTTTAGACAAAATTTTTTGGTTCTATTTTTTTATGATACAACATACAAAAATACATACAATCCTAAATTTTCACCCTCCTATCATCAACCCCTATTTTTTTATAGCGTTATTAATTTATATAGCAAAACAACGTTTGCCAGGCCAGCTAGTAATATATATACAACATGACCTACTCTATTCCCCAAATTCTAATCTATGAGTCATTTACGAGTCCGTTCGCCGTAAACGATGTGATATCTGGGGTCTCACGCTCCAAATCCGACGAGCTCTTTCCATACACTAATTCGAAAACGTGTGGTTACCAACAAAAGAAAATACTAGCCATTGGCTTTTACTTTCGGCGCCGCACAATCTGAATTGTTCTCGACGTCTTGATTGTCTCTCTTGTTACGGCCTCAACACCTTGCTACGATCCAAAATACGACTTTTATACTTTCCTTAGCATTATGTCTAACTACCTGATGAATACGCTTCTATTTTTTATAAAAAATTGTGACCCTAATGATTACTCGTTTTTTATATTCTATGTTTAGCACACCGCCTCAATTCTCGGGTTCGATTCCTAGCACGGCACATTTGTATTCATGAGTATGATTGTTTGTATCGGTCTGGGTGTTTTCTATGTATATATATATGTATTTACAAAAAATATATATCAAATATATACAATATATACTATAAAAATATATACAAAAAATATATATCTATGTATTTGTATCAGTTATCTACCCACACAACAAAGTTTAGCTAACTTAACTTGGGTCTAGATAGCGCTGTGTGAATTGTCCTGAGATTATTATTATTAATCAATCAAAAATATATCTAAATACGAATCCATTTAGATATATTTTCCATTAATATTACTTATATATTAAAGTTATGATTTGTTTCATCTGCTAAAATAATCTAATTTAATATTATAAACGCGTAAGTTTGTGAGTATTGACGGATGTTTCTTACTCTTTCACGCAAAAACTAATGGACGGATTTTGATGAAACTTTACAGCTTATATAGCTTATACATATGAATAATATATAGGCTATAAATTTAAGAACAGCTAGTATTAAATGAATTAGCAAGTAACAATTCATAAAAATTTAAAATTCAATTCAAAATTCAAAATATCTTTATTAATGTAGGTCTATTACAGACTCTTATGATATGTCAAATCTACCGTCAGTTCGGAATGATTTCGAGATGAGAAGAACTGACAAGAAACTCAGCTCGTATTTTATTTTAATGTTGTACATATTTACAATAATACTATTTCATTTAAATTCAAATTTGGGAGAATAGAGTGACCACTAGCATATGCTATATAAAAAAAATCAAAAAATCTAATCAGTGTTCGCAACCTGAACAGACCAGTCCCCACAAGCAGCACCCGTACACGAGTATGACGGATGAGCCAGCCATCATTGCACACAACCATATTAGAGGGAGCACATCGACCCGGCCCACCACGCCGCCACAAGTTTGAACTTTATAGCGAGCATGACTGTTTCAAGTCACTCCACTACGTCATTTATATTATTTACAGCATAAACTGTACCAATCACAGTAATACAAAGGTATAACCTGCACTATTAGTATGTGTATTACAATAACAAAGCGATTTTTTTTGTTAAAAGGAAACAGTCATCACAGATAAATCATTTAATTCATAGCGATGTGTTATATTCGTTAATTGAAGTGATAACATCTAATGCATCCTTTGTATGTTGTGCAATATGACCTTTGCTTTCATATGTTAAAACTAGCATTGCAATAATTAGAACAACCAGACAAATGCTTTTGGTTTACGTGCTATATTGTTTGCCTGAGTTATTAAGCTTTTAATAGAAACAGAAATAAACATTATTGAAGTAAATTTAAAATGCATTTTTGAATAACCAATTTTTGTTATATGATTCTTTATATAATTTTAGATGACACGTCAAACGTTGTTTTGCTATATAAATTAAAGTAATAATATCGCTATAAAAATTAGGGGTTGATGGTAGAAGGGTGTAAATTTTGGAATGTGTATATTTTAATGCACCAACATATAAATAAAAAAAAATTGGGGTATGTCACCTCTAACACTTAGGCGTATAAAATTAGATATCAACATATTCTGAGACCTTCCGATTATATATTTGTAATTATGTATATATTATAGTATAAAATAAAGTCGCTGTCGCTGTCTGTTCGTCTCTATGTATGCTTAAATCTTTAAAACTACGCAACGGATTTTGAAGCGGTTTTTTTTAAAAGATAGAGCGATTCAAGACGAAGGTTTATATATATAATACATGTACACCCGGACGAAGCCGGGCGAGTAGCTAATATTGTATATAAAATACAAAAAACATCTTATATAATATAATAAAGAGAAAAAGAAAGAAAGAAAATTGTTTATTTGGTACACATAAAATAATTTTTAAAATTAAATTTACATTTTATATTAATAATTAGAGTACCAACTAGGTCTCCGCTCAGCATATGTCGTGACGGGGTGCCACGACGCTGGTTTTCAGCGGACACCTTATATAAAAAAACTGTGGTAAACATTTACATGTCATACCAACATTTTTTATCGAACTAAGTAAATAACATAAATTATTAATAATTAATATAGATGTGTTAAAAAAAACATAATTCGTAGATATCAATTCAAATTACGTGAATGTTAAGTGCTATCTCATTATTCAGATTTATATAATCCATTAATCTTTGTCACAAGACGGATATACAGAAAAGTCAATGTTAAATTCTGAAAAGAGTCATAATAGTAGATATATAAACAGACAGACACTATTTGCTTTAATTACATTAACAACACAGTATAAATGTCAAAAAAAAATAGAGTATACAAAAAAGATGAAACAAATACAATATCTATATATATAGACGACCTCGGTGGTCTAGCGGTCTAGCACACCGCTTTACGACCGATGGTCGCGGGTTCGATTCCTCGCACGGCACAAACATTTGTATTCATGAGTATGATTGTTTGTATCGGTCTGGGTGTTCCAAAAAAAAAAAAAAAAATCTATGTATATGTATCAGCTATCTAGTACCCATAACACAAGCTATAGCTAGCCTAACTTCGGTCTAGATGGCACTGTGTGAATAGTCCTGAGATTATTATTATTATTACACATAAAAATGAATTGCTGTTCGTTAGTCCCGCTAAAACTCGAGAACGGCTGAACCGATTTGGCTAATTTCAATATTAAAATATTCGTGGAAGTCCAGGGAAGTTTTAAACGTTGATAAAATATGAAACAATTGCATGTAAAATAGTAAAAACAACAATTATATTATGTATATATATGCAATTTCATATATGACCATTTCTTTCTCTGTTTTTATGTTGTAGGTGTACCTTATTACTCTGTAAATTATGGTAATATACTCTGTACATTATCTTTTTAAAATGCTTCTGATGCAACAGAAATAAACATAAGTTAATTATATACTTTCACATTAACAACATTACGTGGAATAATTTTGAATCCATTTTTATTTTGAAAAAATCGTATAGCATCATCTACGAGTATATAACACATCTGTGGTCCCAAGTTCGTGCTCAGCAAATATTAAGACAGGCTTGTTTGACAAACACTTCGTAATCACGTTTCTGTTTGTTGGTTTAGCCAGCACCATTCGAATTGGTGTGGTGACATCTGAGACGAGTTCTGGTCGAGATCGGTCGTTAGTTAACCAAGTAAAGTAGAGTATGCATACTGCTTGAATTATAACACTGTTATTTTTTCGACGCCTTCAATTTCACACTCGACACATTAATTTTATGTAGGGACATTGCATCTCTGTGCATATTCTGCTGCATATATCACGGTAAATGTCCTGAGGAATTGTTCGGAATAATACCAGGTGCTGAATATCACGAATTACTCGCCAGAAACAAAGATACCCATCCTAATTATCTGGATGAATGGCGGCCTTCCACCGTGCGTTATTACAGAAACTTTTGCCACGCACAACCACATTGTGGAATAACCTTCTAATAATAGTAGAGCAAAGAAATGGGCTTATTCCTTCTTATAAGGTAGGACATGCACTTGCAATTCCCTTGGTTGTTGTTGTTAGCTTTAATTAATAATCCATCCAGATTTCCGTTAGTTATAATTAGCGATTCACCTGGAGTTTAGCATAGTTTTTTTATATCACGTATGGTTGTCACCATAAAAAAACCATAAAAAACCATCTGATGGTAAACGGTTACCGTACCTTATGGACGTCCGAACATGACGGTAGTAGGTTCGCGTTGCCGACCCTTTAGAAACCTTAATATATCCTTCTTGAAAAACCCCATACTGTAGTCTCTAGAGTAAACCTTGGCAGGTAATTCATTCCACAGTCTAAGTGTAGCATATGCACGATAAACTTCTGGTGAATACTCCATAACGGATAAGTCACCGATGATGCTTGCATGTAAACTAATATTAAAAAGAGAAAAAAATATGTTTTCTTTGTAACAGATAAAGTAGAAAAACTTAACGGT